GTAAAAAAAAAAAAAAAAAAAAAAAATGATCATATGTGCGAAAGTTCTCTGATAGCATGAATTAATAATTAAGTTTTATGATAATATTAACTAGTATGTCAAGTTTCATGTATACAGACATAATTGCGATGTACTTGTATTTTCGATCAATCGATTCCATCGGAAATCAATAACTATTCCAAACTGTTCATCACTGGTCCGAGAACAACCAGAACACTGAGAACATGATCTGAATAATAAACCGGAATAATGAGCGTGAACACTGAGCACTCTCGCTTCCTCTCTGATACAAGCCATAAGCTCTATGACTTATGACAATATATAGTGTTTGTTTAGAATTTTAAGCGGTTAGAATGAATTTTTCATTATCAATAGCATTATATTCTTTACCTTGAATATTACTTATAGGGATAACCATTGTTTGATACAAAAATAGGTTAGGAACATACGGAAAGGAAATATTTTAAGTTGTTATGATATTTAGGTTATGATGTACAACAATATCGTTAAAAATGCCGGTAATGATCTAGTTAAAAAGTGAGCTTTTAAACACGATTGAACGTTTACAAATGTTTATTTCTTTTTGTTACAAATAATTTGTTGTTATACAATATAAAAAAATGACAGATGAAGAAAGGGATACCTTTTTAAAGTTTTTACGAGATTTGAAAGGTACGTAACTAAAAATACAATAAGCATTAAAAAGTATTCAAACAGTAGTATGATCTACGTTTCAATATATAAAAGCATAGTGGCGCTAGTACTTACAGTTATAGTGTATTTGGAATTATTCATTAGGATGTGTCCATGTTTTCTAAGAATCTAAAGACAACAAATAACAGCTATGGAACCTTTATTATGGTAACGTATTCATACCAAGCAGAAAAGTATTTGAACATGTAATTTGTCATTTCCTTTGCTCTAAAAAAACTAAACATAAATAAATGAATTTCGGTATGTTTTAAATGATTTTGGAAATGAAAATGAAAATTTAATATCTGTCCATTACTGAGAAACTTAAGAAAAAGGAAAATTATACAAAGAGAAAATATAGATCATTTAATAAGAAGTAAATCAACAACTCGGCTCATGATTAAAGAGTTCAATAATAATGAGAATATTGCGATTAAACCGCCATCCTGACATCAGAAGAAATTAACACCAAGAGAAGAGAAATCAGTTCTTTGCGATATAGAAAAAAATTATTTTTTACCTGCATCATGGTGTCATTGGTATTAATTATTACTACAAAATTGAAGAAAAAAAGCGCATGTATAATTATGTCAGCAAACTTTATGGAAGAACAATATTATGTAATGACGATATTGCAATGCAATATTGTATTGTAATTTTTGAACGATGAATTGCTTTTCTATCATCCTGTTTGAATACTTTTATTATTGACTGTATATATGTACATATATACCATAGTTATTTTCCCTTACAAATACATATTACTAATATATATTAGATTGATATAATATGCAAATAGTAATGCATGATAAAATGTTTTTAATTTTAAATCTTCCAGTAAGTGCATTTTTTCTGTCCTTTCTTTTGTAGTAAAAAAGAAAGATTATTCTACATTTGAAGAATCACTCAGTATATTACAAAATTATGCCGCGACTAAAGGGTTGATAGATGAAGATATCGATTTGTTAACAGATATTATTATAAATACAGAATTAGGTGAGTATACAGACCGTTATAAGAAACAAACAGTTACATTCTATTGAAAACATAAAGGAAAAAATATGTTTGCTAGGTGCTACTAAATTAGTATCCTTAGCAAAGTGTTTAGTTCCAAGACACGAGATACCTGAACGCGCAGTCAAGTCCCTTATTTCTTGGTGCCTAGCATCTATAAATGAACTGCCTATTACTCTATCCACTATTATTATACAATGGACAGTTGGTAATATTTTCTTTCTTTTTTTTTAATCGTATAATAATATGACGGAACAAAATATATATAAGATAAATATTTAAATTGTATGTGTGTTTGCGTGCTTTCAGGCATATTGGACTATCAACTAATAGATAAGAAAGTTATAAATATATATTATGGCGTCTTCTTTTATATGATGTTGAAAAAGGAAAGACTGGTAAGTGTGTATACATTCTGTTTACCAATACTGCGTATGTAAATTTATAAAAGAACTTGTAATTACAATAAAAAATTTTAATAACGATCATAATATAAATCATATTGCGTAGTTACATTATTTAAATATTTTCCTACTATTACCATTGTAGGAAAGACATATAGCACGTATCATTTATGTATTAACAAAACCAGAAGATGTAACTCGCAGAGATGTATCTAGATTACTAAATCTTCATCAGAAATATTCGAAACCTCGTAAACATATTATTGTCTTATTGTCGTAAGTAATTGCGATTTGAGTTGGTTCATTTAACGAATGCAATATTAATTTGCATAAGATTTATTTTAGATTATTCAAATCTTACAAACCGGAATTAGTTCCTGAAAAAATTCAATCTATAAACACAGAAAGTGTATGGAAACCAATACCTGAAATTTTGCGATTAATGCTTCAAGATGCGAAAAGTCGTTTAGAGAGTCAACAAACACAGGACTTACATTCAGAGTGTTTTAACTGGAATGTATTTGAGGTAAGTATCTGATAATTATAAAATTTATATAAACGTGAAATATTCATATATTTCTTTAACTTTAATAGTTTATGAGAACAAAGAAGACTGTAGCACCTTTGTTACCACCTGTAGGATATTTTCAAATTGGCTCCAATATTTTCAAAGAAAAGGATACAAAATCTATCTTTGAGATTTCTAGGTAAATAAATAACATTATTGCTTTATTACGTTTATTGATTGATATTCGTTACATAGTAAGCTATTACAGTACAGAAGAATTGGGAAAATTGCACTTAAGTGTAGAATTACCGTGTAATGCCATATCACTTTTGTCTAATATTGCTGGGTATCACCTTCTTACATTTGCTGATTTCCACTATCAGAGTAGATTCTCTTATAATCTCTACAATACTTTAGTAAGAGGTACATCTATAATATAATCTGTAATATAATAAATGTTTCTAGAAAGATAAATTTAATGTTTCTTTCATTTCAGCATTTATTTTGGAAAATGAAAAATTTTCTACAGAAGAAATTAACAAATTACTTGATATAACTATAGAATTTTCACAATATATGCAACAAGATATACTTGTCGTTAATCGTTTCCTTGATGAGTATCTGTATTTTAATACGGGAGAATATCAATCAAAGTTACTAGTTTTATTGCAATGGATGACGTCGGTGTCTATTAGCGGTATATTTTCATTTATATTTATTAAGGGACTGCGTACAAAAAGTTAATTCTCTATAAATATTTTTATTCAAACGATCTTCATAGAATATTTCTTCTTATTGATAGACTTTGATTGATTGATTGATTGATTGATTGATTTATTGGTATCATATTGGCTTGAAAAGATATGGATAAGCAGAGTTTCTATGGTCAATTTTTATAAAGATTTAGTTATCTATCCTAAAAACCAATTGCTTCTTGTTTCTATCAAGCGATTTAGTTCAGAATTTCGTTTACTTAGTGCTGTATTATATATTTCTGTACTTAGTGCAATTATTTTATAAAAATAAAATATATTCAGATTTACAGGAAAAGATATTAGTTCATGTACAAAATATGTTTTACGAATCAGCCTTAAGTATGAAGTGTGAAATTATCAGAACATTGAAAATGTTGATCACAAATTTGGTATGTTAAACATATTATTTTACTACCTTATTTAACTTACAGTTGGCTTTCCTATTGCATAAGTTACTTTTGTTGAAACTATTTAGATATCAAAAATAACATAAAAATAAGAGTAACATAATTATTAATAAAGCAATAGTAGTCAACTGACAATTTTACAATGCCATTTTTTTGTAGTTTGTTAGTCAAGCATTTGAAGAATGCAGTCATAAAACACCTGCACCATTTCTAGGGCAAGGTGCAGTGGATAATTTAGAAGAGGCTATTCCTATTCTCGCAAAAACCATAAAAACCCTTATCGTGTCTGGTTTAAACATACATTCGTACGATATTTTATTACTCTCAGAAGCATTATCATTTTATGAGGAGGTATATGATGAAGATAAATAATAATATCTTCGTATAATTAGATATATAGATAGTAATGAAAATATTAATAACTCAGTGCCGTACTTTTACTGAAAATGTTTAGATTTGTATATTGGAAAATCGAAGTACCATAATGTCGTTTACATTAGCACCTCCTGCAGTAATTTATGGAGGTTTTATTACGAAGCATTGTGCGATTTTGTCAAAAGTATGCAAACTGCTATTGAGGTATGCATCCTATAAACTTTGTTTACGTTTATAAATTAGCCTTTCAATTTCAATATCTGCTCACAGGTATCGTAATAGGTGTTTACAATTAAAAAATCGTAAGATACAAAAGTTATATAAGAAAAAGTTTAATACTATATCTATCTATGCTCAAGACATTGTTGAAGCATTATGGTATGACGAGGTATGTAAATATGACACTAAAATCGGTTAATGAATAATCTAATCATCAAATGTTAATATTCTATAATGAATTTCTACATTAAATTGTGCTGTATTTTTTATTATATTGCCGTTATGAATCGAAATTAAAAATTCGGATAAAATATTAATAAAATCCCATCGGGATGGAATTAAATTAGATGGTTGTCAATTAATTAATTATAATTAATATAATATAAGAATATTATGTTTAAAATATCTTTTCTGTATTAAATTTTCACCATCAGAAAATAATTCTTCTTTTCCTAATTTTGGCATTTAAGAATTATATTTTTTGCTAAATTTATATTTTTCAGCTATTTAAAAGACGCAGTAATATGTACTTTTTAAGAAATGTTCCAACGAGAGCGATGGAAGATTTAAAACATTGCAATCTAAATAGCCTTTTAAATATTAGTAACCATTATGCCATCTTACCTTACAAATGTATATTGAACAAAACAGGACTGAGTATTAACACAAGAGAGGTAAGAAATAACGCACAGTTATTTTTAATCTTTTTGTCTATTAGTTTTTTAAATAATATTGACGTACCTAATAGAGTAGAATTACTTTTTAATATTTAATGATAACTTCTAAATGATAAAAAGTTATTCCAGCGATGATAATATTTTTACAGGCTGCTATGAGCGTAGCATTGTATTATTATCCAACCATAAGTGAATTTCTTGATATATTTCAAAATTAACTGTAATAATAAATTTAGATATTAAAAGGTATATACATTATTTCCGAAGAAATTTAAGATACTCTTGAGATGTAATGTAAATGTTTTTAATTGTACGTTTTATACATTAAAACAATAATTCATAAAGTTTGTAATAATAAGTACGTGTGAAATAAGTTGATTTAAATTAATCATTGCCTTTTATTTCTTTGATTTTTACATAAAAATTTTCATGTACAGTTCATTCAACAGTCTTTAATACATATCTACCTAATGAAAAGTTACATATAAATTATCATGGATGCCTTGGGCTCATACTTTAGAAACTATATCATTTTTTTTTTTACATATCTTTTAATTTATCTTACTTATTTTATGCATTAATATTTAGTGTACACATTGCAGTTGATCGAAAATTACTGATGTTTACATGAAAATAGTAGCTTGACAATGCATTATGCAGAAAATCTCTTTGAAAGTGAGCGTGAACATCTCTTAAATTTAAAATCTATATAATGCTCTATTAAAAGTATTCTAAATACATATTCTAGAAGAGGCCATGCTATCGATGCAACATTATTCTAAATACTAAATATACTTTATAACTACCATACTTTAAAACAATACATGTACGTATTACTAATACTATTGATAGTGCGTTAAAGAATTGATAGGGTACCATTTTGATACATGTTATTCATCAATATTTCGAGTAAGTTTCAAGAACAGAACAAAAAAATTTATATATATAAAAAAAAAAAACTCGTTATAACTGAACTATGTATATATTTATCTACTGCGGATTGATTTTCACAAAATCACATTCATTATTGCTTTAGAATTCAATCGTACCGTGCAAAGGAATGAATAAAGAATGTAAATGTATAATACTAGTCACTATGTTGAATTCAAAGAAAGATTTACTATAAATATCAGTATATACGATGTATTACTATTATTTAATTGATACAATATATACCATATTAGCATATTTTTCTACGTTTTCTTTTTCTTCGCTATAAACTGATACAGCTACATACATGATAGTACATCATCATGTCAATAATAACGATTGAAGACAATGACAACATCAAGAACTTAGTGCTTCTATAACGATTATAATATGTTATAAAATTGTCTCCAGTTTTAATGAATCAATCAAAACTGTGAAACTTTGCTTAATATCATAACATTTGTACCATCTAAACATGTCTCATGTTAAGCTGCAAATGAAGTATTTTCAAAGATCGATATAACAACCAGATACATATTCATACATCTAGTTATTTATACCTATAAAAATAATGATTATATACGGTGATGCATTACGCTAGAAAATTATATTTTGCTATGGACACATTCAGAGATGTTATAACTACGAGTACATATAAGAATTAACAGAGAATGTTCACCTCTACCAAAATTTTTAATAGATTCTTTCTTTTTCATGATAACATACAATTTGATTTGCAAATATCTTGAAAAGATATTACATGTTTTCATTAATAACTGTACAAGCACTTTACTAAGAATAGCATAGTTAAATTTCATCAATCTTGAGCAATGTATCCATGTTACCTATACTATTTTAAATTGTAACATGTTTTTATGGACTGTCTTTGGTGTAAATATATTCTCAGACTAGAAAATAATAGTATCAAGAGGCCTGGAATGTGAAAACAGTAATGTACATTAAATTTAGTAGATTTGGTAAAAGTGCACATCATTTTTCATGATATTAGCGATCAGAAACTTTGCTTCTATATATAGCGATTATAGTATGTCAATTATAATTAATTTGTTCAAATCAGATAGTATGAGCAGCATAAAATAATGTTTGATATTAAAAGTATCAGTAGAAGTAGAAATATTTATAACAATGTTTAATACTTATGCTGCTTAAACTACTTTGGATGTAAAGCCTGATATATTCTTATAAAGATAGAGAATAAATTAAAATTATTATTAAAAAAAAAAAAAAAAAAAAAAATGAATAGTAATGTTTGATATTAAAAGTATCAGTAGAAGTAGAAATATTTATAACAATGTTTAATACTTATGCTGCTTAAACTACTTTGGATGTAAAGCCTGATATATTCTTATAAAGATAGAGAATAAATTAAAATTATTATTAAAAAAAAAAAAAAAAAAAAAATGTATCGTAAACATATGATGTTATACTAGTAAAGAGTAACAATTAATATTTTATTGTCATGAATTTGAAAAAATCATTAAAACAGTTGCGTTTGTTCGGATGAGAGTACTGAAATAGCATTTAGTTATAGTCTGTGATTGGCAGTCACTCGGTTGTAATAAAGAATGATTCAGTTTAGAAACTAACTTTAAATTACATGTAATACTAATAACATCACTGCAGTTCCATGTTGACATTAAGTTGAATTTGAATGTAACTTCATCGGCAAACACTTTCTAAATATGCTTTAGGAAACATTAGCTAAATATACAAAGTTCAAAAGAATGTAAAACATAATAATGGCAATAATTACGATACAACAATTTTCTTTGTGACATTAATAATCTTATTCAGAAAAGAATAAAATACCAGCAGATATAATTGAAAAAATAAGTATAAAGAATGATTTTATTTATTTTAAGTATTCCAAATAAGATAGTTTACTACTCGAAAATTATATGATTCCTATATAAATTCCTTCAATGTAAATACTTCTGTACTCTATGCATACAATAATACATCAGAGAAAGTTTCGGACAATAATTTACTGCATTGAATATTATTACTACATTTAGATCTCATGCTGCAGTATATATAGGATAAGATATATCATTCCAGAAATAGAGATATGTAGAATAAGATATTTCATTCCAGAAATTCGCTATACAAGTTTGTGTGCAATGATTGTATAGATATTAAATTCCATTAAACTTTTCCTTTTTATAACAAATACTGCTTTAGAAAAAAGCATTGTCATTAGATTTCCTTAAACAATTTCTCTAGGTTCCAATATAAAATTTATGGAACAATGCCAGAAACCTTTACATTTAGATTGTTAAACTAGTAGAAACTATTATTACATTAAGAAACAAATATTTTTACGTATCAAATAATTTTTCTAAAAAGTTTTGTATCCATAAATCGCATTTTTATAATTTTACAATAAACGAGAAAATGTGTTTTACGTAACATAAATTAAATGTACTACCTTTTTTCATATTAGTGTTATTATTACATTACTCAAGGTAAAGAAAGTTTTATTACCGTCTTATTTTTATTCCAGCATTAATTATAACTTTAAAATGCATTTTTTTTAATTATTATTGTTTATAACCATGAAATATCAAGATTTTTTAATTGATGTTAGTTTAAAGGACATAACATGGAGGACTTTAAATAAAAACTAAAGAATGATATTATTTTATAATAAAAAAGAATTGTATTTATAAATGCTAAATGAAAGTTTTTGAAAATTTTGTTCAAATAACATTCCTATAAAACGCTTGAAATTCATAATACTTCGTATTAAATTTTAATGCACATCTAAAATAATTACAAAAGAATATAATGTTTCCACATATTGTATATTTTCTAACTATGAAAGAAAGAAAGACATGAATAGTATATATGCATTGGCTTCAACAAAGTTATAAATTACACAGCGGTTCTGACATTATTGCCATTCTTAAAATAAAAATTCTTCATCCGTATGATAATATTTAATACATATGGTAATCAATGTAAAATTAAGGTGCTCCAGTAAGTGCCTAATGTCATATATATTTTAATTAAATTCGAGCTCTTAATTTTTGTATTTTGGATATACTACGGGCAGTGACTATAGCATCTTTGTAAAAGAACTTGTTTCGCATATAGTTAATATTAAATCATTGGAGATTATGAGAATTCAATTAAGCTTAGTGTACAAATAGCATTATGTATGGCACAAGGTACAGATCAATATTCATTATAGTATTGAAATTGTATTGCCAATGTTTTTCTTCGTTCACACGTACTTATGATACGAAAAAGGATCATTAAGAATGTATATAATTAGTAACAGGTGTAAGGTATGCATGTTGTTTTATAATATTCAGAAAGTATACAACTAATTGCATATTAGTATATCTGGATAACTTGATTTATTTACACTATGTCTTATTTAAAGTCCATGCGCCTACTTTTAAATGATAGTAATGTCGTTAGAGAATGTTTTCGTTTCCGTTAAAGTACATCATACAATTATAACAAATTTTGTATGTTATCTTTTTTTGTATGTTATCTTGTATTCCCAGCTTTTATTACCAAACAGAATTTGAAAATAGCCTTATGTCAGTCAAGCTTCTCGTATTTAAGACGTATTAGACTCGAATTGTTGAATATTTTGTAAAACATAACATTTATCATTCCTCGAACTATGATATATGACAATAACTAATTAAAATTAAATGATAACGACATAATTCAAATACGCTTATCGTCATGAGGATACTGCAAGTGATAAATAAATAAATGAACAAGATCTTACATGTTGGTAATAGATATTAGAAATGATAAGTAATATGTTATCGTAATCTATTCTATTCTTTAAATTTTTGCTGCGATTCTCAAAAGGTAAAATGAGACACGTCACTGATATTACGATGTTTTGTTTCACTTTTCAAGTACGTTCCATAACAACCAAAAAAGGGGGGATTGACAAGTTATTTTAAACTAATATTCAGGCTTGAGACTAATCTGTATATTGATGTAAGCATAAATAATGAAGCCCAATCTTAAAACACCGCAATCAGGCCTGTGTAATTTTGATACAATTAATAGAAGATGACAATCATTTTACATAGCTTTTTTTTTTTTTGTTGCAACTGTTAATTGCGTTAACAGCCCATAGCCATTTAGAATAAGAACGTTTAACCATACAAACGCTTAAAACAAATTTTTCCCGTACTGCAGCTTTTTCAACTTATTTAACAGGAAACCAAATAAGTTTCCATTAAAAGACTTTTAAAATCAAATTAAATTAGATCAACTCTCTGTTATTTACTAACAAAAATGTCATTTATATAGAAATACCTTCAAATGTAGTATAATATGTCATTGTAGTAGAAAAGTAAATTGTGATACTAAACAAAATTTTTAGCTTCTTAGATGTCCTTTGATCACTTTATCTCAAATTTTAGACATCCATCTTTGGCACAATGTATTAATTAAGCAGAAATAGATTATATATATATATAAGTAGAAAAAAGAACAATAAAACAGCAAAAATGTATACACTTTCCATCGCTACAAAAATTCAGTACATAATCTGTCATTATATAATGAAAAACTAAATAAACATGAATCGATTCATTATTTAAACTATAGAGGAGCACGGTTACAAACAAGTTCTTTTTCGAATTCTAATTACTTAAATGTAGTAAATTCTATCAGAAGAACAAAAATGAAAGGAAAAGATGGAAAACAGAAAAGATTGAACAAGTGTTGAGATATTGTTTGCTAAACACAATGAGTATGCATACATTGTTTTTATGTCTAACATTTATATATATGTGTATATATATATATATATATACACACACACATACAATATATACACGTATGTATATTATATATATATATATGTATATATAATATATATATATAAGAACGTATCTATATACGTATATGTACCATTAATGAAAGTAAATTATGATGATATTGTTACGGTGATGAAATTCAGTTCAGTTGATTCAATATTAGTGTAATCATAATTAAAGCACTTGGATGTGCATATTTGTCTCTAGCACTCACACATTGTCTTTTCACTAAGGGAAATAGAATACTTCACTTCACTCTTTAGATAACACTTTTGTACACAAAGCAGTATGTATCTATTTTTCTTTTTTCTTTTCCTTGTAAAACAAGATATAAGAAGTATAACAGTTTCACAATTAACAGAGGAGCAGCGAAATAAACAGCTCAGTCCCAACTGGCGTCACTCTCACCCTCTTCTTCTTCCTCCTCCTCGTCAGAGAACATGGTATCATATATATAATCTGGATCATGTAGGAACTCATCACGACTTCTTTTTCTTAGCCCCATTCTACGCTTCTTCGTTGTTAGGGCAACTTCGTCTTCTGTCGTTCTCTCCTTACGAAATTCGTAGACTAGTGGATAAATATATTCAATTGCAGCTTGGACAGCAGCAACATTGGGAGCTACAATGTACATTTCAATTTACTCAATAAACATAATAATTAAGATCGTATACGAAAACAATATATTTCCTTGTAGATTTTTACTTCAATCTTCATAGATAAAGTATTTATGAATGTCGTTTATGCCAAGCTATGGATATATTTACCAGTCGCCCTTCAGTGTTTATAATTGAATGTCATTCGTCCGTATGTTACAAATTGATTCTTCATTGCAAATTTCTGAATGAGACATTTTCTATTCTAAAACATACTTGCGATCTTTCATCCATAGCATTGCATAAATAACATTATGTTAACGGGATATTTCATTCGCGATTGCAAAAGAATTAATAATTCATTCGACGCAAACTTTAATCCAATAGTAAAACAAACCTGTTACAGTGACACTTCCAGTAGAAAATATTTTCAATGTAGCTTTTGGTTCCTTCAGCTTGTATGTGACACCAGGATGTAATTCTGGCTCATAACTAAATAAAACAAACACATGAATATCTTTGACTATAATACATTATCGGTATAATAGATTATATGTAAAAGGGTATATATCAAAATCATTGTTAGTCAATCAGTTCAATTATTCCTGTAAATCATATAGGTTTATTTAAACATACATAAGTATACTTACTCTGCATTTTCTTTATGACATGATGAAAATGATGTTATCTTGATTGCAAATGGCATACAGCATGTACCCAGTACATTAACCACTCTATAATTGTTAAATCGTACTTTGAATCCAAGCTTCTGAAGTGAACGAGCAAAGCGGCGGGCTGCTATCTTTGCTTGAACTTCACTAGTTGCACCGGTACATGTTACTTTGCCAGAAGACCATATAGAAGCAGTAGTATATGGTCTCCTTAGTTTCATAGTAATCATCTACAACATGCATGCATATACTAAGAACATTGCCTATAAATGTTATTCAATATTTCAAATTATTTAGAATCTAAAAATTATATTAAAACCTAAAGATCAACTTGTTCGGCTAGAAAGTTTCATGTAGTCCTAAACTGTATGTATATCTCACTTAAAATTGAACTATGGCTTTAACGATCTTGAAAGGAAATTTACGATACATCCAACATATTCTGATATTTCTAATTTAATATATATTAAAGCATAGTTATATTCTCAAGTAGAAATTAATATTATATCAAAATTATACTAAGATCATTTTCATTATCATACAGATAATGTATGTTATATAATCTAGGAATGGGATAAAATCAAGGAGTGTACCATTTTATTAAACAATTAATCACAATCTTTTACTGTTAATTATAAAAAACTAAAAGCCAAATGTAAAATATTTATGATTAATTTATAACAAATAACTTTATATCTTCTTCGCATCTTATTAACACTGATACTTTCTCTTGTTACTTTAATGCTTAATATTTTTTAATAAATTTTTATTCACTGCTTAAAAATACATTGCGAATTTTATTAAAGTATGTAAATTGTTGTATGTAATTAAGAAAAATCAAGTATGTAAGCGTTCTAGTAATGTAATTTAAATTTTCTGCATAGAAACATTGAACAGAAATTAAAGATATAAAAATTAAGCTTACATCACAATCAAATATATTAAATATAATTAATTTGCTACAAATGTAAACAAAACGAGACTGCTTCAAAACATACCCCATTCTCTCTTCTATATTCCACATTAGATCCATTTAGTGCAATTTCTCGTAAATTTAAATGACACCTAACACTGAAGCTGCAAACTACATTATTGATAACGATATCCAATTCACGAGGTTCTTGTTCATGAGGCTCCATGTAAGGTTGGATCTGTCCGTCAAATATCCTCTCATCTTTTTCTTCTTTACATATGCTGGTATTGTCTAAATTCTTTACATCCTCTACGTGATTTATCGATGTGTTTGTTAAAGGTTTCATGCCATTCTTTTGAATAGCAGTTGCCATAATATATCCCTACAGAAAGACAAATAAAAAGAAAAAACGAAAATTGAAACTACCATTATCCTTTGTATATAATCTAACATAGAAACATTAATTAGTAGCGTTACATCACTTATTACTTTATACAACATAGCATTTCGTCTTATGATTTATAAAGTAATTTTTAAACAATAATGTCCTGGTTTTTTTTCATAAAAGCCAATTTTGCTTGATTTAAGTACTGGGGAATAGAATATCTATTTGTTGTATCACTAAATTAAAAAAGTTACTGATTAATTAATATAACATCGCCGTTTGTTATGCCATTAATTATCAGAAATATTCATATATATTGTATCATTTAAATTATTTGTAATTCCATCAACTATTATGTAAATCGATATATACTTTAATCTCAAATTTAATGTTAGGGGTCCGCAGTTCCCAATTTAAAAAATTTTAAGTTTGTATTCCTCAATTTTCAATGACTTTTCATTTATATTGAATACCCAAAACATAAGAAGCTCAAAAAATCATACAAAAACAATAACTGAAAAATACGGTACTTCTAAAAAAAAATGATCTTATATAGTAAAATAAAGGTTCAAGTTTCTTTCTCTAAAAATTTAAATAACTAATAATGACATTTTATGTAAAACAACATGATGTTACTGATGTTACCTCACTGGAATGATATATGATAAGTATGCAGATACGTCCTATAAAAAATATATCAATTTTAATTCAGAAAGATAATGAATTTCCGGAGGAAGTTAAATTGAAATTCTACGAAATTGTTTTAAAATTACTGCAAGTGAAACATAGCGGAAATGCGCAAACATTTAAAAGAGACGATGTTTATAGAAGCACGCGAACGTTTAATGAAAATTTTCGTGAGATGTATTTCAAAAATGCTGAGAAATGTTCGAAAGGTTTTCTCGGATGTTAGATGAGGTGACAGTAAGAAAAGATGAAAAGCACAATTGCTATTCCTTATAGCGTTAAATGACTATAGTACTAAATTAGAAGATTAAAATCTTGATCAACAGCGGCAAACAAAGTAGAAATCGCACTCACTTGTGCCTATGTTATATGCTTTTTTATTAAAGATAACTTCTTTGTTGACAAGTGCCAGGAGAACGCAAAGTTAACTCAATAATCACTGCCATTGTTTTCGGCCATCTTCACTAGACTAGCTACTGATCAAAGTCACGGACGCGGCAATGATACATAAAAGAGAATACTCATTGATAAAGTACAGCCGTGTAATTTTCCTAGTATATTTTTAAATTTTCCACTAACTGTTAAATTCTATATAAATTTACATATGTTACATCTTCTTCAGTAAACTGTATCAGCATTTAAATAAATATTATATTTTCTATCTTATTGTATGTTAAGTATCGAAATGAAAATATTACCAATAAATTTAAATATTGCTACTTGGAATTTCCCTAGAATTTTTCTAGAACTTAGATGCCGATGTTTCATAAGATCCTCACCTTATTTTAATTAATTAATTAAAAGACGAATACATAAAAATGATTAATAATGAAGAAAATATTTTTGCATAACCTATTATATTTTCTGATACTACCATTTGATTGTAACAAATCAATTATATATACATATACGGATTAATCTAAGCAGTTGTAAATCGATATCGTGAAATCTATACCTAATGGCAGTTTTCGTTAATATCAAACTACTATTCATGCAGTTAATATCAAAAACTATTTTCAAAAAAGAAAATGGCCAGATGCAAGAAATATAGAGGAATATTTTATTAATCAATATGTTTATTTAATAAAATTACGAGTATAATAATAATAGTAGTAATAAATAGTAATAAAATAATAATAATAATAATAATAATAATAAACTTAGTATAGTAGTAGTAATAAACTTAGAATAATAATAAATAAGCTTTAGAACAGTTTTATTAAAATTACTGATCATTGCAAAAAGTGTAAGAACTAAGAACAAGCCGTGGAAAACTTTCACAATATATACGATGTAATTGTCATTTGCGTGATATAAGTTCGCAACCACATTTGTGGGATAGTGTAAAACCATGGACATTGTAGAACCTACCGCAGTGTAAAGTTTATACAATTTCAAATAATTCCAACAAATACTACAACAGTTCGATTTGCATTTAATGCTGGATCTTTATGAAACAGTATAATCAATTATAATCTTTTTTTCACGCAATTTTAAACTAAATCTACCAATTAAATCGAAGAAATTGTCTTTATATCTTGTAGTAATGGCAAATAATGGTATAATAATTGTTTATTGCAACGTAATCGTCAATAAAAACATTACGGATCATGGTTGCTTATAGAAATATAATCGTGTTTTAGAGGATAATAAAAGCGAAGGTTCGGCTGAAATCGAGGGAGAGAATGAAAATGATGAAAATGAAGAAGCGGAAAAGATTCTTATCATAGATCCTGATAGCGATGTTCGTTTTTATTATTCCCTTACTACTAACTTCATCAATAACAACTTGAAAGTTTATAATGACATAATTCTTATATATATATATATATATATTTATAATATATATATATATATATATATATATATTTATAATATATATATTTTATAATTTTATATCTTTATAATATATATGTGTGTGTGTGTGTGTGTGTGTGTGTATAATTATTTCATTAATGTTCTAGGAATTAGATTTCAATCATTCGAGACTAACAAAATTAGAAAATTTGGAACCATTGAGGAAGATACATAGATTGTGTTTTACGTGGAATCTGATAAAGAAAATTGAGAACCTTGATACACTTACAACTTTGGTCGAGTTAGAATTAAGAGATAATCAGATTGTTGTTATAGAAAACTTAGATGCTCTTGTAAATTTGAAGTATGTTACTACATTCCTTATAAGTAAAATAAAAGATACATTTTCTTTTAGTAAATATAATAAATAGTAAATTTATCAAAATAATATCCTAAATTTCTTGGACATAAGCAAATATTATATTTTCAGACTTTTAGATTTATCTTTTAATCGTATTAAAAAGATAGAAGGATTGGACAACCTATTGAATTTACAAAAGTTATACCTGTCGTCAAATAAGATTCAGTGCATTGAGAACCTGTCACATCTAAAGAACCTTACAATCCTTGAGTTAGGTGATAACAAAATAAGAGAAATAATTAATCTTGAAGCACTTGAAAATTTAACAAGTTTGTTCCTTGGTAAAAATAAGATAGCAAAGATAGAAAATTTGGACTGTTTACAAAATCTTCAGTTATTAAGTCTTCAAAGCAATCGCATTATAGAAATAGAAAATTTAGACGAATTAAAGAATCTTGATCAGTTGTATTTATCTGAAAATGGAATAACATGCATCCGAGGATTATCAAATTGTACAAAAGTAACAACTTTTGATCTAGCAAATAATAAAATAAAAAAGATTGAAAACATTGAACATCTTGAAGATTTAGAAGAGTTCTGGGTAAGAATATGATTAAGAGCTGTATATGCGTATTTAAATACTATTCGATACTTAATGTATTTTCCAGATAAACAACAATGAAATTGAGGATTGGACAACTGTAGAAAATTTAGCAGTTAATAAGAAATTACAGACAGTGTATTTAGAGCATAATCCTATTGCCAAAGATCCAAATTACAGAAGGAAAATTAAACTGTTGCTGCCATGGCTTGTCCAATTAGATGCAACACTTTGCAGATAGACAATATTGTTCTGCAAAGTAGACCTCTTTGATAACTCTTTGAAACTGTACCTATTGATACTGTTGCCTATCTCCTTCTAGTATTACTTTAAAAAATTATGTATGTACAATTCTATCAATGAGAAGTATGAAATAATTATGTCTTTTTAACTAGAAATGCATTCCTTTTTTTACGTTTTATTAGCAATTTTGTTGATATCACATTGTTAAACGACTGAAATTTGTCATTGCTTTCGACAAGAAAATAATATAAATGCTCAAGGATAATTGTTTTCATAATTTGTACAAAAGCTTTCGAAGTAGAAATTTGGGAATAGTATCTTCTTTATACCTTCATATGATTATACAGTATAAACATTTTTCTTATCTTACTTAAATTGTGGGTACATTGACCTGTTCTGTAACATTTAATATTTTGAGGAACTTCTCTATATTGTTCTCTTATTATTGAGAAAACTTTATATATCTTGATACAATAATTTTTAAAAATTGTACGGAACTTTAATTGAAAGATGTTCAATATGTTTATACGAGAATAGTAGCACAAGCAATAGAAGGAATTATTGAACAGTAATTGTGTGAAGACATTATTGAAACTAAATTGTTTTAAAACCACATACTTCAATTTCTACTTGTAATATATTCGTAACAGAATGCTCAATGTATTTATTTCATATTTCAATGTATTGTAAAGTATATGACTATTGCAGAATCTTTACTACATTAGGAAACCAATTACATTCTCATTCGATTAACTTTTTGCGCGACATACAGTACAGGGCAAAAATAAGTGGATAAGGTAGGGGAAATAGGTATCAATGATGTTTCATTTCATACGGATTGTTTGCACAGAAATGTAAACGTTAATTTCAATTATTTACCAAATAATGTACTTCGATTAAACCTCATTGATAATTCTACCATCTGTCCGTATACCCTTTCATTTAATAACATAACATCGTGTACTGTAATTTTATGCTTATTGATATATACATGTGAAATATATTGAGATTATGTAAATATGTATTTATTAAGTGACTTACATTCACAAACATTATTATTATTTCCGTCAAAAGCCTTGATCGTCGTGCAATTTTTACTTTAATAACTATAGAACGAATCGTTGCAACATTTATTGAAAATTATTTTACTGAATTTATGGATGGAACATTTCCACGAACTCTTGCAATAACTTAAATGATTTTACATTTAACAAATTTGCGATCATGTACACGTACATAGAATAAATTAAATATGTAAAGAACAGGAAATTTTGCTAATTTTTATGAATCGTTACACTCTGATATATGTATGAATATGATACACTAATGGTTCCACTAAAATCTAATTATGTACAAAACTAAGATATTGTTATTTAATTATTGTATTTAAATTTTCATTGTACGCTCATACATTCACTATACATATAATTTGAAATATATATATATATATATATTTGTGTAATAATTACAAATAGTAATAATTATGTAACAAAATAATTTTGGACGTCTACGAATCTCAGTATAGTTATTAATATTTAAGATATAATATATGCAAAAGAAATGTGATTTATTAATTTAATGATTACATCATGTTTCTTGCCCATATTGTTACATTTGTTCCATTCTAGACTTAAAAACTTGTAGAATTTAATTAGTACAACTGTTCCTAAAATTATTATTTTTAATGTAAATATATAAAATGAACTCGAAACTTTATTGCCGGTCCAAGTTAAAATTGTAAATTGGATTTTTGTTCTCAAAAAAAAAAAAAAAAGAATTTTACAATATATTTTCCTATTTTTTTTTTTACGATACTCTTGTTAAATAAGCGAAGAAAAGTATATTTCGATCATTCAATACAATATAGAAAACAATTAAGTTGATTAGTACTCAATAACATCTAATTATTCGCATTCTTTTTATTTCTTGCCCTCTCTTGTATTCCATTTCTATCATAGTGAAGAAAATGAAAAAAAAGCATTGAATTTTGTTTCAGGACACAACTTTTATCTATAGCTTTTATTTATGTTATATGATAATTTTCGACCGGGGAATTTAAAAATTACCCCCAAATTCCTAGATCCAACATCGATCATTATCTATCTCATATCTTTCTTCCTATGTACATACGTACTATGCAGTACTGACGACACAAGGGGCCACAGAAGCAAGGAAATTACTGCTCTCTATCGTCCACCGTTATGCGTTTATTGTGTATTATTTTATTTGTATATATGGCACTTTCGGCCAATACGCGTACTCATTTCTATGACTGTGTTGAAAATATCGGAAATAGCCAGATCCGTATTCCTTTATCGGTGAATCTGTCGATGTATGACGCCCTCGTGGATTTTGACGAAACCTTTTTAATTACTTTGTTACGATGTAAATGTAATATGTAATGAGAAAAATGATGAAAACGGGCAGTCAGGCCTCAATGACCTTGAAAAACGTAAAATACCGTCCAAGGTTAAACTTCTTTTACAAGTTTTTTCGTATTTTCTGACAGTACCCGACGAATAGAGACGAAATATAATATTATATGTAAATATAATATAATAAAATTTGATACTCTGAGTCTACTGTATGGACTACTCTGTTTTACGCATCAGATAGATTTTTACACTTTAAAGCGTTACTAACGAGGGAGATAGGTGTTCTGGGAATTCCCGTGGTGAGATAATTCCTTTTAGCGGCGCGGTGTGTTATCCCAATTCCCGATAGCGGCGCTCCGATCGAGTTGTAAATACTAGACTCAGCTGTAGTACACCATTTTTCAAGTTTCAGTTCCCTTGGTGCAGCGCGATGTCATGTTTTCAATTGAACTCTACTCTATTATGTAAATTTACATTTTTGGTATGACATGACATCGACTAACATCTTTTTTGTATGACATGAAATACTATATACTTACGATATACGATTGAATTGAAAGTTCAACATGAAAGACAACGATATTTTCGTTCTTGCGAGACAGGCAGGCGAATAGAGATATCGCTGTTTCTGTGCGAGACATTCATAGCATATCACGCATGCGCAAAACATGAACCTTTTTTCCTTCAATATTGATTTTTCACGATTTAGTTTTGGAATGATTACTTCTATGTTTTCGGCAGAACCAATTCTAGTACTAGCCGTGCTGAATAACATGGCAATACTACATCGGTACCCATATTTTGTGTTAGAGGAGACAGAGCCGGCTCTAAAGTCAAGACTGTTGTTATATATATGAATGCTGGACTCCCGCATTGTTGCCATTCTTGTATTTAGCAGGCTAGTACTATAATCGGCCGTGCTTCCAGTATATGAGTATTCAGGCCTGTTTATATGATCATCGCCAGAACTGTGTAAATATATGACCGTGGTTCAATTACGGGACGATAACCGGACGATTTGTTAACAATATCAGGGAGTTCCCTCAGTTTCATATGAAAAACAATTCCTCGACCTTTCATGAATTAAAAGTCGCAAAAGTGGAATATATTACTTATCGTCTTTGAAATTGTTATTATTTTTGGTAAGTTGTACTCATTTTAAATGTAAATTTTTAAGTATTTTGATTTTCTTTATAAATATATTATTTTTTAAGACTTTTTATTATCTAAGTTATGGAGACAGATATAAAGGAGTTTATACCAAGACCTTATCAGATTGATCTATTTGAAACTGCATGTAAAGAAAATGTTATTATTTATTTACCAACGGGAGCCGGAAAAACATTTATTGCTGTTATGCTTATTAAAGAATTAAGTGCGGATATACGACGGTATGAGTCATAAATTACACATTTTTGTCAGTTATTGTCATATAGTATATAATCATATTTTCACCTTATCAATATTTAAACATTGTGCTATGAATTTTATATATAGGCCTTATGCTGAAGGCGGTAAACATACCATATTTATAGTGAATACAGTACCCTTGGTCATACAACAAAGTGATTATATTAAAAGATTAACTGGTTTGTCTTGTGGAACACTCAGTAGCGAGGAAGGAGTTGATTTTTGGCATGATGAAGAATGGAATGAACATCTAAACCAACACGAGGTAATGGAAGTCAATTATAACTTAGAAATATTGTTGCAAATATTGTTTTTATAACATTATACGAATGTATGAATTATAATATGAATTACGTATTTAGTAAAATCTTAAAGAATGCTGTATTATAGGTTTTAGTAATGACATCGCAAATCTTAGTGAACGCACTTTGTCATGGATATATATTTTTGAATAGAATAAACCTGATTATTTTCGATGAATGTCACAGAGCAGTAAATGATCATCCTATGCGACAAATTATGCAACTCTTTGAAAATTGTCCTAAAGAGGAACAACCAAGAGTATTAGGACTTTCAGCATCATTATTAAATTCTAATGTGAGGCTGAAAAAAGTACAATCAGTTATGCAGGTAAATTTCATATAATCACATTAAAGAAAAATTTTATTTTAATTAATATAATATATAAATTTTACTGTAGTCTTTGGAAGTTACATTTAACGCAAGAATAGCCACTGCGACTGTAGCTGATAAAAGTTATTATGCATCACCAATTGAAGAAATTATTCAATTTGACCAACATATTATAGACGATGTTGGGGAGTGCATAAATAATATTATTAAGGAAGTAGAATTAATCCTAAATTGCATAGCGTTAAAAGATAATCTGAAGTATAATGAATCAAGTGCAGAATTTAGACCAAAAACTACTAGTAAAAAGCTGAGTGGCATATTAAGAAACATTCAGTACCACTTTCTACGTACAGGTATTGTATATATAGTGCCAGGATATATATGGTACACTCAAGAGCAAGAGGTTATTCTATATGCAAAACTAAGCCGAGGAGAAAATAAAGATTTTTGCCTTTTTTGTTTGTAGGTCTTGTTTCAGGATAATTAAATTTAATTTGTGATTCATTAAGTATATTTACATTCAAGCTAATGTATGAATTTTGAAACTTAATTTTCTCAAAGACAAGGTCTCAAATAAAAAATATATTTTTGTCAACCTTGCATTAGAATAATCTCCTGTCCACCTTAGGACATATCCTAACATATTGTATGCATAAAAAATAGGATGCAGAATAATTTACAAAATTAATTATAATATAATAAATATAATTAAATTTGTATGTATTCTTCTGTAGTTTAGCAAATTTTATTTTGATATAGGAATTTATGGCGCAAGCAAATGTGTTTTACTTCATTTGATTCAATTAGAATACTTGAAAAAAAGTATAGATGATGTGGTATGTAAACATTAAACATAAAGATATATTGAATATATTTTGTTCGTTTATATTGTGTAATGTAATATGTAATATTTAGGAAACACTATATATTTTGGAATATCTTATAACAAACGTAATTAACTGTAGAAAATTATTAGAAGATAAAATGAAAGGGAGTCCAGAAAAAGAGAGAATTTACAAGTGAGTTACATCTATTTATATTTATTGTATAATTCGTTAATATTATTTTGAAACAATATTATGGAATTTCAGTTATTCATCTGATCAAATTCGAAAACTTCTCAAAGCATTAAAAGACTTTTATAATAACAAGCATCATGATCAGGTATTTTGCTGTATCATTTTCGTACAACGTCGATTCACTGCAAAAATATTATATCAGATATTAAAGGTAAAGAGTAATTTTTATGTTTATAATTTATATAAATTTATCTTTTTCTCATTACTTTGTAATTTGTGTAATATTTTAGAGTATATCCTTGCATGACGAGGAATATAAATTCTTGCATCCAGAGTTTGTGATGGGTGTGTCCAGTAATCCTTTTAAAAATCCCAAAGAATTGCTATGCGTATCAGAACGGAATAAGGAGGTTTTGCTCAGGTACGATATTTTATAATAATAATACAATCTATTATATACAAGCTTATTTATTCAATTTTAATATAAAAGTCAGCGGATACATTAATACATCACTATTCAAGAAATACACAGTTCTCTAAACTTTTCCTTTTTCCTTTTTCTTTCTTTTCCTTTTTTTTTTTTTTTTAGATTTAGGAATGGTTTGTTAAATTGCATTGTTGCAACAGATGTTATAGATGAAGGTATAGATGTGCCGAAATGTTCATTAATCATTAGGTACGATTTGCCAATGGATGTAAGAACATATATTCAAAGCAAAGGGAGAGCACGGCATGCATATAGTCGATATGTAGTATTGTTACAAAAAGATGACTCACAGTATCTACGACGACATAATGAATATAAAAAGATAGAACAACACTTGAAACAGGTGCCATTTTCTTAAATTTTATTCCTTGTCGCATATATTTTCATACCGATTTTCTGCTTAATAAAATATACAATAAATTGTACAATCAATTTTTTTACATTGTCAATGAATACTAAATATCAGTAGTGTTAATAACAATCAATGATAGTCGAATGTATAAGCGGAAAAACGTTTTGCCGCCGACATCGATTAGCGATATTAAAAAAAAAAAAAGAAAAAACCTTTTTGCTGTTGATAATGATTATCGATAAACAAAATGAAATCCTGGTCATGGATAATGGTTAATAGCTTGTTATACGGGGCATAACTGTATATACATATACATATATACATATAAATTTACTCACTTTTTATCTTTTAACTAGCTTCTAGTAGACAAAACTGATGAACGTAACGTACCAACTGAAAATGAAATACAAAGTGAACTATATCAACATGACATAGAACCATATCAAGTAATTAGTGATGATGGACAAGTATGTTGTATAACAGAACAGATGGCAATTAATGTAATAAATCAATACTGTACATCTTTATTGAAATCAAAATTTGCATGTTTATCACCTATTTGGACTTTACATAAAATTTCAAACAATTATCCGCCACTGTATCAGGTATTAGAGGCTGGAATATTTTAAATCTTTTTTTCTCTTGTGCAATGATTGTAATTTTCTTAAATAACGTTTTAGGTTTCTCTTACATTACCATCTATATCTCCATTCAGAAGTACCATTCTTGGTGATCCTATGATTTCTATTAGCAGTGCAAAGAGATCTGTTGCTATGAATATGTGTATGGAATTACATAAAATCGGAGAATTATCTGACAATTTAAAGCCAGTTACAATAGAAACACTTCAAAAGGACCTAAGTTATTTATTTCCAAATTGGGTTGACGAAGTTGAATCAGAAAAAAGTTCAGTAGGAACATACAAGAAAAAGCGACATCATCAGTTACAGGTAAAATAAAACAAAAATTTATTATTTCATTGATCAAAATGTAGTAAATGTTGTTACTAAAAACCACCATTTATATGGTATAGTTCCCATCAGCTCTCTATGGTGCATTTCCTCTTCCTCAAGAGACAGTGTATCTTCACATACTTCATGCTACACCTAAGTATCCTGCACCGCATCATGATAATCGCTATTTGACATTCTATAATTTGTTACATAATAGTGCAGGTTTTGGTATACTTTCTACAAAACAAATGCCAGAGGTATAAATTTCCATTTGTTTTCTAATCTTAATAACAAACATTCTATACGCTTATACATTTGCTTATACATTTTATACTCTTATTGTAGATACCTTCTTTTCCAATTTTTATGCGTGTTGGTGAATTAAATATTGATGTGAAAGTAAATCACGCAAAAATGATTTTAACTGAAGAAGAAGTTATATATTTAAAAAGGTTTCATACTTTAATATTTAGTGATATCGTACCAGTTATAAAAACCTTTATGGTATTCGATAATTGTAATCGTGATAATTGCTTTTTAATTGTGCCAGGTAAATGAAATTTATGATTGAACGGGGACAGATTGGAAACTTTCGATTTTCGGAATTGCCGCTAGGTGTTCCTTTATTTATTATTATCATTGCCATTCCGAAAGCTTTTCAATCTGCGCTATGCACTAAAATAATAATTCTATATAGATAATAAAGATATATTTATGTATTCTCTTTCGTACTATATAAGATACCATTAATATTAGGCCTTCTTTAATATCTTCTATTTTAGTGCTATTTTAAAATATAATTTTTTAGTTAACGAAGACTGGGACATAAATTGGGAAGTTACGAAACAGTATAGTTCTATTGAATATATATCACCACCAATTCCATTCCGTTTTAAGAGTTCTGATTACGAACTAGCACTGGTTAAACCTAACTATAGAGCTGCAGACACATATATTGTTACCCAAGTATGTGATGATATCATGCCCAGTTCATGTTTTCCAACTGATCACTTTTCGACGTATATTCATTATTATAAAGAAAAACACAGATTGGTAATAAACAATCTAGAGCAGCCAATGTTAGAAGTAAAATCAATATCAAGGGCAATAGATTATATAATGCCTAGGTAATACATAATTCTTTATATACATACTATATACAAATGAAACAAATATATGATATAATATATGACATAAATATATACAAATTCATAATTAAATCGTATTTCTCTATACAGAGATAAGAGTACTGAATCAAAGAAAGAGCATTTAGTTCCAGAATTATGCATTAGAATTAATTTTCCAGCCTTATATTGGCTCAAAGCAACAACTTTACCATCTATATTGCACAGAGTCTCACAGCTCTTAATTGCAGAAGATCTAAGATACATTATTGCTAAAGAAAGTGGTTTAGGAACATTATCAAATAATATGAAATGGCCTTCATTAGTAATAACTGACCAAGAAAGAGAAGACTCATTTGAGCCTTTATTAGAAATTTCTACTACAGAAAATATTGATAATTTACATCCAGAACCAATTTCAAATGGAACAGAAGCAGATGGTTCGTGTACATATATATATATATATATATATTTATTTATTTATTTATTTATTTATCTATCTATTTATTTATCCATATATATTATATCTCCTATACCTAATATAGTTTTTAGATACAATCATCGCTTGTCATAAAACATTAAGCTTACAAATTTCTTTAAATTAAAAGCTAGAACCTAGAGTAGTCTATATCCTTAAAACGTAGCTAGCTAATCTATGGTAACAACATTCCTTTGGTTTTAGATCGCTATTCAGTTTCCCTACTAGTTGCTCGAAACTCTACTATACACACATCTCCCTCACTGATCTACCTCCTAGTAAATTTTTCATCTTTTCTCTAATTCTCCATCTCTTCTCTTATTCTTTCATAAATTCCCTCACAGAGCATGAAATGCAACAAGAATACTCTTCATCTAGATTATACATTCAACACTTTTGGTTCTCTTCTTCTTTATGTTGTATTGCACTAACAGTTATCATATGTCAAGGGAGAAATTAGGTCTGAAAAATTTTTTCGTATCGTGGCCAATACGAGTAAAAAAGAGTAATTAAGGGTTACAGAGCTAGGTGGGATACCTTGTGTATATATATTGTTAATTTATTTTTACTTTAAAGATAGTTTGTCTATACGTAGACTATATATTTTTATACATTAATAAAATGTCTATTTTCATATAATATGAAATTATTTCACTAGAAATATTTTCACAGAATTATATCACTATCCATGGTCAAAACATGAAGAACAACCAGATTTGGACAAGAATATCGAAGAAATTCAGCTAATTGAAATAGAACACTATTGTCAGTTTATGAACGAAACACAGGATCAAAATAATAGTTCAATTGTAATATTCTATATCTTTTATATACATACTATACATACGTTTCACTTTATATTTCTAAAAATTTGAGCAACATTTCTCTATGTATAACATTGTTATCTAACATTTATTTATAATACTCATGAAATGTATTATTTCACAGAAAAATGACAAAATTAATTTTTTGAACAAACCATCAGTACCAGTACCGGTTTTGCAAATCTTGTCATTAAAATGTTCGTATGGCCCCGATCCTGGTCAGATCGCGTATGTAAGTGTATTCTTAATTGTTTTTGATTTAATTGTAATCAGTTAATCTAGTCTGTTTATGAAAACAAATTTTTATAGGCATTGACTAAAACAGGACATGATGCGTTCAATTTAGAACGATTAGAAACATTAGGAGATGCATATTTGAAATTTATTACATCATTATTTTTATACAATGAGTTTCCGAAGCATAGTGAAGGTTATTTAACCGCACTGAAAGGAAAAATTATTGGCAACCGTAATCTGTATTATTGTGGAATTAAGAAAAACATTCCGGGATGTATGAAAGTTGACAGTTTTATACCTTTGAGTAATTTTATTGCACCAGCTTATACAGTATATAGGCAAGTTCAAGATGTGTTATTACATGCAAAGGTTTGTATTATTTGAATATTCCAAAACTAAATCATACACACAGTAAATTATGTAGTAATATAGATGATGTAAACTAATAAGTTGTAAAATTTAATGAAGTAAATTGATTAAATTTATTGAAAAAACAAACTCTGCGTAAGGTGTCACCAAATGTTTTATATGAAATTGAAATACCTCGAGATGAGCAATTAAGTGGACATATAAGTGAAGCCACGAAAAATGCAATACAAACAAAAATATTAGATTGGGAGACAGCAGAAGCACAAACTGGTATGGAACATTATCTTGGAATACAAACAGTTTCTGATAAAACAGTAGCAGATTGTGTAGAAGCATTGATTGGTGTATACCTTAGAGTAAGTACAAAACAAAGTTATTGTATAATATTGTAATAATCTTTTTTAATATGAATATTTTCATTTTTCTAGAGTATGGGTATTAAAGATACTTTAATATTATTACAATGGTTTCAAATTTTACCATATAAAATTGATGCTAATGAATTATTGTTTGGTACCCCTCAGAATCCAATAATTTCTGAAGGGAACATAAATCATTTAATGCCTTGGGCTTCCAATATAGAAACAAAGCTTGGATACAGATTTAATAATAGAGGGTATTTACTGCAGGTAATTAACATTTTACAACAACTGAGTGTTTTATTTCTTATGGATTGTTATATCGAGTTCTTTAATACTAAGATCTAGTTTGGCAACTTAGTTTAACTAAAAAATATAACTTTCAAGTAAAACAGTTAAATGTTTTAGGCCTTTACACATCCTTCATATACACCGAATAATATGACTGAATGTTATCAAAGATTAGAATTTCTTGGTGATGCAATACTTGGTAACAGAACGTTTATGATTTTAAACCTTCTTTTGAACGTTTATTGATCAATAAAATATTAAATGAATATGCTTGACTTAACGTATAATTTCAGATTTCCTAATTACAAACTATATCTATGAAAGTTGTGGGAATTTAAACCCTGGTGCATTAACAGATCTAAGATCTGCTCTTGTTAATAATATTACTTTTGCATGCTTGACTGTAAGACATGGTTTACATATCGCTTTACTATCTTACGCTCCAAAATTAAATAATATTATTGAACGATTTGTGAAATTTCAAGAGGAAAGAAATTATGCTGTGAATGACGAGGTATTTTACATTAATAAAGGAAACGTTAAATACATTTTGAATTATTTAAATATATATATGTAAATGTATTTCTGTATTTGTATATAATACATTCTATATTTACAGCTTCTATGGATTTTATTAGAAGAAGACGAATGTAATATGGCTGAACATGTAGACGTTCCTAAAGTTCTAGGAGATATATTTGAATCTGTAATAGGTGCAATATATATGGATAGTAATAAAAATCTTACAGTAGTATGGAACATTGTATATTCCATTATGCATAAAGAAATCGGTACGTATTTATGAAAATAACATAACAGTTTTATAATAACATTAAAATTGTTAATAAACATTATTAGTTGTGGTAACATATAGCTTTTATTTAGACGAATTCAGCAAAAATATTCCAAAACAACCAATTCGTGTTTTATATGAAACTCACGGCGCACGCCCACAATTCCTGTGAGTATTATTAGTAACAATTAACATTTCATCTTCGTTAAAATTACTTAACAATTATATATTTTCCCCAGGAAAGCAACTATTATTGATAATACGAATATTGTCATGGTTCCGTTAAAAGTAACTATTGCTGGGAAAGTAAGACATTTTTATGGGTTCGGTGCTAATAAGAAACAAGCGAAGTGTGCTGCTGCAAAGCAAGCTATAAAAAGCTTCTTGTGTAAGAAATAGATCAATATCATAAGACATTTTTTCATGTTCACTGATAGTTTCACCTACTTATGTTTCTTCCCTTCTTCCATTTTCTTCTATCTGCAATAAATAATATAATAGTATTACAATAAATAGGATAATAAAAAAGATCATCAATATTGTCTATTTACTTATTATAGTCATATTAGATTTACGTGCAGTGTTTGTTGTTTTCGTTCTTCTGTTAAATTTAATATACGTAAATAATATCATATTCAGAATATTATTTATGATTGAAACATTTTTATGTTATTAAATCCTTTTACTAAAAAAGCAAAATTATAGTATAACTTTAGACTTTGGAAAGGTTTTTAATAATGAAACAAATATTTATGTTACATAACATTTATTTGACATTAGTTAAATACAAAGTAATTAGTAAGGTAATCATAATAATCATATAAGGCAAAAGTTTGTCTCTAAAATCATTATCGTGATCTTGTTTCCTCCTTTCACCTCCCGTGATACTCGGTCCACCGTGAGTCGAGTCCACGGCCGCATTAAGGGGAGGGGGAGAGAGAAAGGGGCAGATACGACCGGGTCTGGGTTATTTTTCCACGATAACGTTACACAAAAAATCCTAAGCAATCAATCAAAGCGCCTTACTGCGGTTAAATTGAACAATATTCATCGGTCGCTAAGAGCCTTACTTACCCCTTTCATAGGAGTTCCCAGACGTATGTATACGATCGTGGTCCAATCGACGGTCTTATAAAGTCTCGATACCTGCTACGTAGAATCGTCCGAAAGTTAACTCGTGAAAAATCAACATGTATGATATCAAAGTTCTTGTTCTTGCATGACAGACAGAGATGAGTGAAATGTGTCAGTCTCTGTCTGAGACATTTATAGCATGTCCCGCAAGAACAAGGACTTCGATGTCTTCCATGTTGACTTTTCGCGACTCAGTTTTTGGAGGGTATCTTCTATGCTTTCGGTATAATATATAAGTATGGAGACATATTTATTGGGTTGGCAACTAAGTGATTGCGGATTTTGTCATTACCACCTAACGATGCCAACCTAATATATGACTGTAGATTGGACCACAGTCATTACATCAGAGCACATCCACATCGTCCGAAATTTCAGAAGCAACTCCTTGACCACGAATATTTCATCGATATTACCGAGGATCGACATTCTTCTTCTTATGCCGTCACATGCTTGCAACATATCGTGGCCCTACCGTTAATTGTTTAAATATTTGCAGTAAAGGAAACCATTGCTGTTAGAAAAAACTTGTGTTTCATGAAAGTCGTCGTACACGTATCCAAAGAAATTGCCTGTTTTGTAACCAACATTTGAACAAGCGCTGACCGAAACACCACAATTCCAATACAGATGTTGCACCACGCGGTCAAGTTCAAGAAGCGGTTTCACGCGGGCATATACAAAAACCTATAAAGAGTTGGGGGCTGCCCTGTTTAGTTCCACTGTAGATCAATAATATAACGATAACGACTTTGCCGACCGTTCACTAAAAACGTTGATCTCATGGTGTCACTAGCAGCGGCAATTTGAAAACATTATGCTTTTATGCAACTAATAAGATTGCTTTTTCAAAAAATACTGTATAATTTTCTGAGCGAAGTAAATGTGAGTTACTTTCTTGATTTATTAAAAGAATTACCACGCGCATCTGTATACAACCATCGATTCAAATCATTCTTCAATTATACATAATTAAACATTCTTAAAATGGCGTCCAAGTAAATCGTACGCTATGCACAAATTTTATACGTGCATAATTTTTAAAACAGATTTCTTCGCCTTAAAATTTGTATTTCTGAATTTTATTCGAAAAATACTTGAAAACTATCATACCATATAAGAATGGGTTATAAATTTGGTGTGCTCAAAAAAGCTCAAAAAGAATCATTTTATCGACGAAATCAAAATAAACATTCAAATATATGTAAAGACTTGTACAACATACCAAAATATAAAATATTGTAAATTTAGACAATATTTATTGGTGGGGTGCTATATATGTTACACCTTTATTTCAAATTAGTCATGACAATGTATAGGTACAATAAAATAAATTCAGTACAAGTGTACAAAGAAGCAGTTATGTATATCAAAAAAGAGAAACATATGTACAATCAAAATATCACATTAAATCAAATCAAATTTCTATAAACATTAAATAAATAGACTTCCACTTAAACATAATTTTTTAAATTATTTACTTCTTAATAGTTGCTGTATTTAATTTAATCAAATATTTACCTTACTCTGAATTTTGAATGAAATCCTTTTGAATTCTTTGAAATTCTTCGAAATTCTTGAATTCTCTGAATTAGTTCAGCTGAAATATCCTCTCTCAAAGAAAATCGTTCAGACTTCATTGTGTGATAATCAAAGTACAAAAATCGAAGCAAAATTTGTAAAATTAATTACAAATCAATCGCCATTATAGCTGATACATACATACATACATACATACATACATACATACATACATACATACATACATATTTTGACCTATTCAAAATTATACGATCTATGTATTTTAAGAACTATCATTTTGTATCTTGCATTTAAATAAATTAGACATTTTCGTAAATATCACGTTGATCGAATTTGGTGAGTTCTCATGTCGACATGGTAACAAAACAAACGTAATATTTACAAAGTGATTGGATGTATGGTGTGAAATGAAATCTTCGGTCAAGCTCTGAAACCATCATATATCTTGTATTAAAATATTTCTTTATCTTCGCCAGATTTTATCCCGCATTTCTACGTTACTGAAAAGCTCCGATATTTCCAATAGAAATGTAATCATAGTTGTTAAAACGATGCAGTCACAGTTGCACAGTGTACAATAGCATATATACGACAAAAGTATACTCGACTTCTGATTGGTAAAAGCGAGATAAACGCAGAACGCGATTGGCCGGCATGATAATCTAGGTTATAGCTAGTGAAGCACGCATGAATTTAGTGTGACGTCACCGTCCGTACTCGCAATCGGCCATTTTGTGAGTGTGTGCTGGATCGGGATATTTGTGTTAAGAAGCTTTTCCAGTAAAACCGAATGATTTAGTTTACGGGACGGACTCGCTTTACTTTTATTACATGTGCTAAGAGTGCGGGCTATCCGTAGACTTCATACGTAGATTTGTACGATGGAGGAAAAGGCGTCGTTGAAGGAACTCGATCAGTGGATAGAACAATTAAATAACTGCCAACAACTAACAGAAAGCCAAGTAAAATCTCTGTGCGAGAAGGTACACATACACTTTTCCCTCATAAAAAATTATCACCACGTCGATTCTTTCAGTGTATCTTTTTTATTGAGATATCTCTTGTTTGGCTTACAATTAATTTTGTTACGCTGTTTTACGCTCGTTTATTCGTATTCTACTGATCACCACCGAGAGCATAATTTGACGTGTCATTACAAATTTCATTGCAATACATTTGAATATGTTTTATATGCAGAAATAATATTATCGATAGTGTATTTCGCAATTTCGACAAATTCAGTCTTGATAGATATTATTTAAAATTACGATCAGACGCTCCAAAAACCACCGTGTTCATTGCTATTTGGATTTACACTGCAACTTGTTCAAACCAAGCAAGCTTGCCGAATCAACCCACGATTCTATTTTTACTTTCCGAATGAGATCTCTTGCAGCATGTAAAGAGCACTTTAATTTTCATGCTTCAACGCTCGAAACACCTGTGATATGTCGAAATTATCTTATTTGATTGTATTCGTCTTCGAGATGTTTGTATATGTAATACTTGCTCATGCATAACGCTTAAAAGATGTTTAATCATTATGCTTGGAAACTTTTAATAATAACTGCTTGAAATACGACAATATGTACTGTTATAGACAAGAAAATGTCATATTTATCTGTGTATTTGCAAATTAATATTAATATAGAATATTTATAGATTATAAATTTGCTTCATATGTTATAATAAATAAGTAATTTGCTATAAATGCTTTTCTATATGGAAGAAAATAAAAAGTATAAGTTGTATACTTATACTATCATTTCTTAATCAGCTGTATTATCTAATCTATTATATTATCACTATCGTTCCTAAATATATTTTTACTATCTTTTATGTAAATTATATTAATGTTATTACTAGACTGTGGAATTTTATGCATTTATGGTAAATCTTAAAATGCAATAGTATCCAGAATGCATGTAATATGTAAAAATATAAAAAATATCTGAAGTAGTCAATAGTAAAGTATAATTAGTAGGAAAAATAAATCCTTATTTAGGTTTCACTTTGTTGGCTATTAGCATTAAATATTTGTAGTTTATTAACTCATTGTATTGCTATTCTTGTATTACTAATTTGTTGTATATGTTAATGGAACTTAACAGTAATGTAAAAATTAATTTCTTACTGAAAATTTGCAATATTTTGAAAAGTCTTTGTTTTATTTGTTGTAAATAAACTCTTGTATGTATGTCCGTCCGTCCGTCCGTCCGTCTGTCTGTCTGTCTGTCTGTCTGTCTGTCTGTCTGTCTGTCTGTCTGTCTGTCTGTCTGTCTGTCTGTCTGTCTGTCTGTCTGTCTGTCTGTCTGTCTGTCTGTCTGTCTGTCTGTCTGTCTGTCTGTCTGTCTGTCTGTCTGTCTGTCTGTCTGTCTGTCTGTCTGTCTGTCTGTCTGTCTGTCTGTCTGTCTGTCTGTCTGTCTGTCTGTCTGTCTGTCTGTCTGTCTGTCTGTCTGTCTGTCTGTCTGTCTGTCTGTCTGTCTGTCTGTCTGTCTGTCTGTCTGTCTGTCTGTCTGTCTGTCTGTCTGTCTGTCTGTCTGTCTGTCTGTCTGTCTGTCTGTCTGTCTGTCTGTCTGTCTGTCTGTCTGTCTGTCTGTCTGTCTGTCTGTCTGTCTGTCTGTCTGTCTGTCTGTCTGTCTGTCTGTCTGTCTGTCTGTCTGTCTGTCTGTCTGTCTGTCTGTCTGTCTGTCTGTCTGTCTGTCTGTCTGTCTGTCTGTCTGTCTGTCTGTCTGTCTGTCTGTCTGTCTGTCTGTCTGTGTGTGTGTGTGTGTGTGTGTGTGTGTGTGTGTGTGTGTGTGTGTGTGTGTGTGTGTGTGTGTGTGTGTGTGTGTGTGTGTGTGTGTGTGTGTGTGTGTGTGTGTGTGTGTGTGTGTGTGTGTGTGTGTGTGTGTGTGTGTGTGTGTGTGTGTGTGTGTGTGTGTGTGTGTGTGTGTGTGTGTGTGTGTGTGTGTGTGTGTGTGTGTGTGTGTGTGTGTGTGTGTGTGTGTGTGTGTGTGTGTGTGTGTGTGTGTGTGTGTGTGTGTGTGTGTGTGTGTGTGTGTGTGTGTGTGTGTGTGTGTGTGTGTGTGTGTGTGTGTGTGTGTGTGTGTGTGTGTGTGTGTGTGTGTGTGTGTGTGTGTGTGTGTGTGTGTGTGTGTGTGTGTGTGTGTGTGTGTGTGTGTGTGTGTGTGTGTGTGTGTGTGTGTGTGTGTGTGTGTGTGTGTGTGTGTGTGTGTGTGTGTGTGTGTGTGTGTGTGTGTGTGTGTGTGTGCGTGTGTGTGTGCGTCGCGTGCGCGCGCACGTGTGTGTCTAACTTTATATAAAAGTATTCAAAATAGAGGACTCATTGTAATATTTGAAATGTAAAACAGATTTTTGTATATTTGGATTCCATTTCTTTAACACATTCGAAGCAAATGACTTACATGTGCATCATCTGAGTTCTAGCAAAGGAACCCGAATGATACATCTATGAGTTTTTAAATGCCTTGGTGTCAACATGTCAATTGCATTCATAAAATTATGAACTTGTATAAATATTTCCAGTCTAGTTATAAATCTGTTGTATTAACTCATTAAGAACCATGCAGTGAAATAATATGTAAATGTTATGTAAATGCAACATTATCGCAAAACCCAAATTAAGTAAGTTATTGTTTATAAATTTTAAAAAATCCATTGAAATAATAGGTATATCACAGAATCCCATTGTATGAATTGGAAATACAAAAACAATAATTTTAATAAAATAATATATCATAAAATATTCCAATTTTTTTTAATTTCATAAAATTATAGGATCTATATGAAACAAGAAATAGTAATGAAACAGATATTGAACAGATTCTTGAAGTTCCTTTTCATAATTGCAACATGGATTCAGTAAAATTTAGTAATGTAAATTAAAAAAGAAAGGTTGAATGAAATGTTGCATTAACGCAACTTTGACCGTTAATGAGTTAATATTATTATTATTATAATATTGTAAATGTGGCTGGATAGATAATTATAAATCATTTCTTTTATTTTCTAAATTACCCATTGACCTAAATAACCTATTATGTATTTATATATCTTTATATTGCTTTAACATTTTTAGATAATAAATAATATCAGGGAATTAATATATGTTTGTAGGCAAAAGAAATTTTAGCTAAAGAATCTAACGTACAAGAAGTAAAATGTCCTGTAACGGTATGTGGAGATGTACATGGACAATTCCATGATTTAATGGAATTGTTCAGAATAGGAGGCAAGTCTCCAGATACAAATTACCTTTTTATGGGTGACTATGTAGACCGTGGTTATTATTCTGTTGAAACTGTTACCTTACTTGTTGCGCTCAAGGTAAAATTCTTTTAAACAGATATATATGTAAATTGAATATACAGATATAGAACTGCCTGTTTTCCTTTATATACACTATTTTTCCTTTATAATGTATATAAAATTTTATTTTCATAGGTCAGATATAGAGAAAGAATAACTATTTTAAGAGGTAATCATGAATCAAGGCAAATCACACAGGTATATGGGTTTTATGACGAATGTTTACGTAAATATGGCAATGCCAATGTATGGAAGTTCTTCACGGATCTATTTGATTATTTACCATTAACTGCTCTGGTAGATGGTCAAATATTTTGTTTACATGGTGGTTTATCACCTTCGATCGATACTTTAGATCATATACGTGCTCTAGACCGTCTTCAAGAAGT